AAACAAAATTACTAGTTAGTTTTTTAAAATTTTAATTTTTTAAAGAGTTAATAGATTTTAAAGATCATCTATTATATTAGAGAGTTAAGGCTTTCTGCACCATAGTAGCTAAGATTTTTATAATTAATAGATTAGTTATTTTAATAGTAGGTAGGTTTGTAATTTTAATAGCAATTGAGTTAGTAATTTTAATAGACGAAAGATACAAAGTTTTAACAATAGATAAATTTATTATTTTAATAGTAGTAAATTCATGTATTTTTAGTAGTTAAATAGCATTTTCAACAGTAAGTAGATTTTAATTTTATTAATAATAAGTTTGCAATTTCAACTGAAAATAGGCTATAATCTTAATAATAAACTAATTTATGATTTTAATAATCAATTAGGTAGTAATTTCAATAGTATACAATTTATTAATTGCAATATTGAGTGAGTTTATAAATTCAACATTAGGTTGATTTGTAATTTTAATAATTAATAGGTTAATATATACAATTTAATAATTTTAATATTGGATGAGTTTATAAATTTAATATTAAGTTGATTTATAAGTTTAATATATAATTTTAATAGCAAATTAATTAATAATTTCAATAGTAGGTGTGATTTAGATTTTAACGGTAGATAAAATTATGATTTTTAATAAAAAATTAATTTATAATTTTAGTAGTAGCTAGTTTAGAAAATTTAAAGAGCTTGTGTTGAAATCTTAAAAGAGCTTGTATTAAAATTCTAACAAACAAATCCTAACAGATCAAAATCTAACAAAAAATTTTAGAATAAAAATCTTAATAGCCAAAAAATCTATAGTTAAAATTAAAATTTTGATCAAAAATATTATAAACCTTTACAACCTCTAGCATAATCCTTATCTAAAGTAACCTAACTCTAAATTTAATTAATTATAAGAGTATATAGATCTTTGCTTTAAAAATCATATTATGGAACATATAATTTATTATGTTTTATAACATAATTTTTAAAGCAAAGGACTCATATTTTACTATAAAAATATTACATATTTGTGATTTTCTATCTAAAAATTCTGATTATTGAGACTTTTAATTGTCATAATTTTTAACTTTTTTTTTGTTGGAATTATGAACTTTTAAATTTTGTTTGTCAGGATTCTGCTCTGTACCCAAATTTGACAAAGATTAAATTTATAATTTTAATAATATAAATTCATAACTTCAACAATGGGGTAGGCTTATCACTTCATTATTTTAGCATTATAAATTAATAACACAATATATTGTATACATTAAATTATTTCTTTAACAAAACAAGCTTTAATATTATAGTTTATCTTTTAACAATAATAGCAATTAGATTGCTTTTATAAGTTATTTTTATTAAAATTATCTTATTCAGAGCTGGACAAATCAAAGATTTTTGAATTTAGGCTGTTTGAAGTTGATTCTTTGGTTAACATTACCCACCCTCTATTGACAGCCTCCTGGCAAAATGAACATATAAAAAATTTATCACCATCTAGAAATCAAATTCAATATAGGCTATGCTTATTTAATTGTTGAATAATAACCTATATTATTGTTATTCTGCATTATGCAATGCAGAGCCAAAAAAATATGCATTCGCACATCTCAACACTGTATACAGTAACCCCTATAATTGTACTTTTCAAATTAAAATCTTAAAATTGTCGTTTTAATACCAGTTTAATTGCGGTTGGCCAGCAAATATGACACCTATTTAAGAATCATTCGAAATACTTCCCTTTGGATTCTTGACATGATATTTCCCGATAAAAATCAAGTTAGCTAGAGTTTTGGATTTGTATCCCGGATATTATATGCAGTGTTCTACGGTATCTCCGTACCGAAGTCACAAGTCACTTGCTACAGTAGTCACTAAATATGGTAATGATCATTAAAAGCTGCATGATTTTGAATTTTGTATATTCATTTTTCAAGAAAATTTATTCGTTCTAAATTAGGAGATACAACGTCAAATCAAGAAATTTGAATAGGAATTATGCATATATCTAATTTTATCATTTTGGCTTATGATAATATTAATTGTAACAAACACTGAATTATCGTTTAACAAAGCTTTTTTTACATTGCCAATAATCAAATAATCGGAATGACAATTCAAAAAAAAAAATAGCACCGCACTCTCAACCCTATTTTTTTTTCAACCACAGATTAGCAGGAGTAAGATTTCATTGCTATTCGCGCTAATCTGAGGTTGAAAAAATAGGGTAGAGACCCTCAATAGAAAATGCAATGTGCGTATTCGAATTTACCTTTCGTGGTACAAGTGCATAGGCATATCTATATAAATTGTCGGTGAATCTAACTTTAAAATAATTCTGAACATTTATAATAAATTTTATTTAACATGTCAAGCACGCTTTTACCTACACCAAATAATGGGGAAACCAATATTGTTTGGATTAGCAGAATGATTGAAGAGAATCGTATCAAGTTTATTGATCATGATGAGTTTGAAAACCCGGTGTTTGTAAAACTCGGGGGTTCCGGAGTCATAAGAAAAACCCTGTGGAAAACAAAAAATAAGGACACCATCTTAAAACAAATTGTGCCCGATGAAGTTATAACAGAACCGGAACTTCAAGAGCTTATTAAGGAAGTAAGATCAATTTGTAAACTCCTCTATAACACTTTTGATTCATAAATTAAAATTTTGATTATCTAATTAAATAGATCAAAGCTTTTGATTCCATTAGAGTTGGAGAACAATCAGCTATAAATGAAATAGGATACAAAAATGTCATTGAATGCTTTGGGGTATCGCGTTTTAATGAAGAAGAACCATTTTTGCTCGTATTAGAACATGCAGATCTTGGTAGCATAGCGGGCTTTATTATGATTGGTTGATTTTGAAGATCATCTCATCATATTAAAGTCTTATTAAAGTAACGA